CACGCGTCCGGGCTAAAAACTGTTAAAGAGAATTCCAGATGCCACAGCCAATTACATTTTAATACGTCAGTTAAGTACGCTCTAAAATATGCAAACAATGTGGCGGGCGGCAGCTAGCGTGCGGCGGGCGGGGGTTGTTGGGCTGAGCGGGTTGGTCAGGCTGGGCGGCAGACCGAATGGGGAGCTGGCTTAACTGAGCGAGCGTGTTAAGCAACTGCTCATTAGTGGCGCTTACATGAAGCTATTAATTCAATTATTTACACTGCGACAGCGACAGCGCTGGCAGTTGACATCGCCGCAAACACACAATGCGCACACACGGGGCGTATAAGTAATGTCTAATTCCGGGAACTTCGGCACCCGGCACTGCGGCACCGGGCGAAACTCTTGCGGGGCAAAGCTTAATTATGCGTAATATGCTAAGTGTAATTGGCGACGCTGCAGCTGAAATGTAACACGCCGACAGGACACTTGTACCTGCATTCGAGTAGAAGGCATATATCAAATGTTCCTAAGTGCCTAATGCATTGCCGCTATGTAGCCGGGGCTGCACTTATGAGCATTTCATTAGCTGTGCATTTACATTTCATTGCGCGCAAATTGTGCTACATATTTTCAGGCGCGGCGTCAGCAGCTGCCAAATGTGACCGGCGAGGTGCGTGTGTGCCGTGTGCCGAATGTCATGTGCGTGCCTCTGTGCGTGTGTGTGTGCGTGCGTGTAATTTAATTTGACAATCGTGACAGAAAAACGAAATGCACAACGTGATGTGCAAAACAATCAAACGTGACAGCAAAACAGTTCAACGACGCCGAAAAGAATACACAAAGAACAGGCCACGTTGTATTAGGGACCTATGGAATATAGGGAATACAAAAAAAAAAACAATATTTAAGAACAGAAATAAAAGAAACTAGAGTGGCAGTTGCTCAGTATCCTATGTCTTTATGATTTTATTTGGTAATGAAAATCTATGACAAAGCAAGGCTTGAAACAAAACACGAGTATAATAGCTAGTTGAAACTAGTTGAAGCAACCAAATACTTTGCCATATAATTTAAATTTTTGTGTATGTCAAATTTTTGGCAATATTTTAAGGTTCACAAATTCCTGCTTCTGTGTTGGCCTTTTTTAAACCCTGAACCCATTAAAAATGGGTATAAGGGTATATTGTATTTGTGCAAAATCCAAATGTATGTAACAGGCAGAAGGAAGCATCTCCGACCCCATAAAGTATATATATTCTTGATCAGCATCAATAGCCGAGTCGATCTAGCCATGTCCGTCTGTCTGTCCGTCCGTCCGTCCGTCCGTCCGTATGTATGAACGCAAGGATCTCGGAACCTATAAGAGCTAGAGACTTGAGACTTTTAGATGTAGGTGCTCCTAGTGCCTGCGCAGATCGAGTTTGTCTCCGATAATCGATAACTTACTCCGTTTCCAAGCAATCGATAAAAATCTATATCGATATCCGGTTTTTTGGGCAATTTTGGTAAATAATAAGAGCTAGAGTCACCAAACTTGACATATAGCTTCTAAAAAAGATTATATATATGCATTTGATGTTGGAAGAAGAGGGTTCAGGGTATCCCCTTGTCGGGAGCTCCCGACTAGAACCTCTTACTTGTTTAAATATTTGTTTTGGGAACAACGCAAAAAAAAAAAGAAATAGGAAGACATGCAAGAATCGCGTTTTCGCTCTTTTCAATGCCGTTTAGGGTTATTAGTTGTTGTTGCCAAGTCGAACTAATCAAAGTCAACGACATCATTTTGCTTTGTGGCCTAATGGCAGAGGAGCTGATTTTCACTTTAAGATCCTGGTCCCGGTGACGTTGCAGGGCGTTGACGCCCATTTCGACGCTCGACGCTCAACTGTAAACCGATTATGTGGCTGTGGCTGGGTCCCAAAATAGACACAGAGCAGCTTAGCACGGAATGAACAGTGGGTCCCAAATGTATTTGGACTTGTAGAGATTTCTGAATATTTCAGATTGAAGAGCCACAATTTAGTTAAAAAAATGATCAATGTTCAATGGAAACTATGCAGAAATAAACAAATAATAATCATTACTAATAAAATACAAAGTTATAAATAATTGTAAAAAGTATTTCTAGAAAATCGATAGATTATCTATATTAACCTTACTTGATAAAATATATTTTTTAAAACTTTTTAAAATATAAATTGAGAAAATGAATAATCAATGTCAAAGTCTGTTAACTATGCGATCTGTGCTAAAAATACATTGACAAAAGTTTGTTTAAATAATATTATATATTATGTAGGAAAAGAGCTTCCACTGTGCATTGGTTACTTTAAGTGAACTGTTCGAAAATGTCGAAGCTGCGGCTAAGTAAGTAGCTATATATCTATCTGGTTGGATGTCTATCTGCCAGGCTGTCTGTCTGTCTTTCGGACAGTTATTTAACAGTGTGTGTGTGTGTGCTGTGAAGCTATGCGTTTGAAATTACAGAAAATGGCAAAGGTCGCATGCGTGCCGAGCCTTGACGCATTTGATTAGCCTTTAGCTGAGGCTGTATTCGATTTACGACATCGACACGCTGCCAGCGCCGACGTCAGCATCTGGTCTCGGCATCGGGAAAGCTCACACAATTGTATTAGCGTGTTGCCATTTGTTTAAGCATATTTGTTTTTATTTTTATTGAATTTAAAGCGCCAACTGGCATCGCCAGCGTCAGCATGTCGCAGCGTCCTTGTGCTGAGGTCATACGCTGCGTATAAGCAACGTCAAGAGTGGCCCAGTGTCAGGGACGAAAGTTTCCATGGCTGTTCCTGCTGCTGCTGCTGCTGCTACTACTGGTGCTAGTGCTGGTCTGACTATTGCTGCAGGAGTTTCCATCCAGAGTTGCAGCTGCAGCTGTTAATTATCCTGTTGGCCGGGCTGCTTATTACGTTAATGCCTGGTTGCATATCGCGCATGCTAGTAGAAAAGCAGCCGGCAATTGCCAGGACAATGCGAGCACATGCCAGGACACGTCCGGCTGTCTTATCATTGCAAAATGTTGCCTACGTGCCCCGGCACGACTATAAAATGTGGCCCAGCAGCACTTGTAATTGCCAGTCAGGCAGCAAATGGCCAACGTCAGCAGCATTGTGTCCTGCCTTATCCTGCGTTAGCCTGCTGGCAGTTAAGCTAATTAAAGTGCACGCAAATTTGAATTATCTGACGCCTTTTATGGCCATTTTTGGCGCCATCGATATTTCAAGCCCAGTGGCCAGCAAATGAAGAAATAACTTTGGCATTATCTCCGCCGATTTACAATGAAACGAATGCCCGACAGACGGCACACACAGTTGCCCTCAGCCTCAGCCGTATACATTTATTAGCAGCCAAATAAAAATATGTTTGAAGTAAAACAAATTGCGCATACGCAATGTGGCAATTTATGCGGCTAACATGCACGTTAATTCGTCTTGAGCAGAGCAAATTGCATGCGAAGATAAAAGCTAAAGCGAAATCACAGCTATATTTACTGACATCATTCGAAATGAGAATGAGAATGAAATGCGAATGGAATGTGCTAGCAGAAAATTAAACGTGTGTGGCATGTGGCAGCTAATGAACTGACTCACGAATCCAAATACAAATATAACAGTCTGCGGCCACTTTCCACGTTCACCATTAAGAAATTTATTATTAAAGGTCAATGTTCGTGTTAAGCTGAGATCTCTGTTAGCAGAGTGCATACAAATACTCTCAAAGTAGGTATCATAGAAATTTATGAAAACAAACAAAAAGGAAGCCTCTGGGATATCTAACTGTTGTAAATTTTTTTCTCAATTTGTAATTTGCACTTGTATTTGAAAAGCATATTTAATCGGCTGTAGTAGCAACCATTTAAACCCTCAATCTTTATAAAATATTCTTTGATTGACCTAGATTTATAAGTTAAATTCATTATTTTGTTTTATATTATATTATCCTGTAAATATATTTGTATGTATTTCTCTATGTAGTTTTTGATCAATATATATTCTTAATCATGTATATATCTGAATTAGCTACTATCTATATCAAGTCTGTTTTTTCTTTGGAGCTCTTTAAATTTATTATTTTTTGAGCTTAAGCTCATTTCATGCACGTGTATTTTTAAGCTTTTTATTTTATCAAGTATTGTTATACTTATTCATATTTCCATCTTATCTTCTACTTATGAGTGTTATATTTCTTACTTTCCTGCTTTCAGCTTTGAGCTGCCACATTTTGCGCTCTGTGCAATTTTCAACACTTTTCTCTGGCGTAACTTCAAATGCACTTCGAGTATTTTCTTTTCCTCTGCTTGGTTTTCTTATATACTCAAATTTGTATTCATTACCCGAGCAGTTGTAGCATGTTGTGTCTTTCTGCTCTGCTCCTTATCTGCTGTTTATTTATTTGTTTTTATTTTCATTTCGCAGTCAGTTCTAAAATATCAAACAAGACCAAGAGGGTCTTGGCAAGGGACAAATCCACAGCCAAATGCCGCTGGTGGTTAAAGGGGGGAAAAAAAACCCCAAAGCTGTCGCTCAGTTATTTGTCGTCAGTCCGCGCTGTACTCGTGTCCTTTTGTGCTGAGTTCTTGGCTTTGCCTATTTTTAGTTTCTAGTGATTTGTTTTGCCTACTATTGCTGCCCGGCCATTCCTTTTGCCTATGCGCTTTGTTATTTTTGCGGTTTGGCACTTGTAACATGCAAATTTTTTTAGGCTCACACAAACAGAAGCCCCAGCTACCACCAGTCACCAGCCAGCAGCCAGACATGAGCCAAAGTTATGTCCCATCCGAAACTGAAACCGAACGCTCTTCCAGGCGTTGTCTCTGCCTGTGTTGGCATGTGGCCTGGGCTCTGGCTGGGCAACCGGAATGTGGTTTGCCTGCCGCCTGACGGCGTTAAAAGGATTAGAATGTCTGAAATGGACTTGTGGCATTCCTCAGAATCGCCTCGTGTGCGGCATTCAAATGTAATGCGTAAGGTGTTTGCATCTGCAATCTGTGGACTTACCTTTACAAAATGATAAAACAGCACGGCTCCCACCGTGGACAAGGCGAACCAAACGAACACCGCAAATGTTGAAATATTGGAAATGTTCAGCGCATGCAGCAGATGCGAACTGACAATGGCCGCCGCCTGGCAGAACAGGAACGGCATAAAAAGTCGCTCAAAGATGTCCCATGGAATCTCCGCCGATTTCTGTGGCAGCGCCGAAATCGAGCCACGTCGCAACGAGGCGCGTCGCGAGGCGCGGCGCTGAAATTAAAAGTAAAAATAACAAAGCTTTAATTAGTACTAAGTACACTTGATTAGAAAACGATTATTAGCATTTTCTGAATGTAATTATTAAATGCAATTTGAAAGGCAATTTAATAATAACTTTTTTTATAATTGTAAAAACTAGACTAAAATCTGATCAGCTTTGAAAAATTATATTATCTTTTGCTTTCTTATCTTTTTTGCTTTCCAACATATTTGTGCACTTAAGAGGACCTACCATATTTATTAGCTTTATTCAATTGTTTTTAAGCCAAATACGAAAATAAGTATTTTACAATCTTGTAAAAGTTGTTTAGCTTCAGCAACTCCAGCATAAGTTAGAATTTTGGATTTAAATAAGTAACAAAGCAAGTTGCATATTTATTTAAAATTCATAAGCAAAGTCTGGGCTCAATTGAATTTTAAATTTTTTACAAAAGATTTTTGCTTTACTTTAACCAGTTAATCCGTTGTCCCGATGAGCGTGAATATCTGATTTGGCTTTCGTCTGAGGACAAAAAAGTCGAATAACTTTTCGGGCTTGAAATACGACATTTTTTATCATTAATTTATAAGTATTTAGAATGCTCTGACAGAACTTTCGACTGGGCGACAACAAGTGGCAAAATATTCAATTATTCATTGCCCCAGTCAGGCAGTTCAGTTCTCTGTGTGATGAAAGCTCACAGTCGAAATGTTGCGGCCCCATGTGATGGGTAAATGTGTTGTTTAATCAATTGCTAATATTTGTGTGCACATTATAAAAACAATTGTTTTTCTCTTTTGTTTGTGTTTGGTTCAATAAACAATGCGCTTTTATTTAAATTATACAATTTGTTTGCTTCTCTGGCGCGTCATTAATCGCTGAATACTTTGCGGTCTGTGCTCTTGAAATATGTTCAATTGTTTACATAGAGATTAGTGTCGCATATTTTGTTTTTATTTGTTTATTGGTTTTTTTGAAATTGTTCTCGTAAAATATCTTGACCACAAATTGGCTCATATTGATTCGAACTTTACCCTTTCATCATTTGCAAGTCTATTGTCCAGGCACTTATGAGCTTTACAAATACAAAAACAAAGGCTTAAACTTTGAGCCTATCTTTATAAAAACTTGCAAATATTTTGCTTATATCTATATGCCAAATGCCTTCACTCTTAATTATGTAGACATTCATATTATTTAGGATAATCCCCATTAGACAGACATATTTTAAGAACCTGCCTTTTCTTCCGTTTGCAAATAATATATGTTTTTAACTAATTTATTTGGATTCTTGAATTTCTTTAAAAATCCCTGGTAGTTTATTAGAATACTGAGTTCCATAAATTGTTTATCTAATCTCCAGGTTGACATTCTTTAAATAGCAACAATTTTAGCCAATTTTTCTCCGCCTAGATTTTTCTCTTTAAATAACAACGCCTTTTTTTAAGCAACTAAAATACATTTTTGTAAGCACGTTAAAGTGTTTCAAGCATTTTCATTAAATATTTGTGCAACGAATGGAACTTTAATAATTGATTTAATAAAGTCGTGGACACAACTTGATTATTCGTGCGAATAAATTTCTCATTAATGTTTATTTTCAAGGAAAACATTTAAGTTCCATTGAATTACTGTGTAATAAAAGAGCATAAATTCATGTTAATTTCAATTCAATTTCTTTTGATGTATTTAAGTGGCTGCAATTATTTCTAGTTTCATTATGAACAGAGCTTTGCCTGCTAAAGTTCTATTTTGCCATTTTTGGAATTCTTGGAAGTGCTGGGCCCAAATGAAAACGGACTAAATACACTTAATCATAAAAACAATATGCGAATAATTGAATTCGATTGAAATGAAGGATGCATAGAAAATTTTAATTGCATACGAAAAACCGCAAAACCCTAACTGCACGTCCGGTTTGCATCTATCATGGCCGCACCCACACATTGACATTGACATATAGCAATTACACATGACATATGTGTACACACGCACACACACACGAAGGCACACACAAAAACAGATACACAGATACACATGTGTGTGTCGAATGTAAGTGCGCATGTAGAGTGGCCGTTTAGGGCGACCCAGACCTAGCTAAAAGGCATCCACGCCCATAAATCAACGACTGTGTGAAATAATCAAATGGTGGCATCTGCATAAATACGGCCAATTGATTTATTTGCACGAAAATAAACCAATTCTATTGCTGATTTTTGGCCAAATTGTAAAATGTTCTGGCTATTTTTACACCAGCTCGAAATAAATTGAAAGGAAATCGACGATTTCTCGTTCTTCTTTCTGTTGTTGCAGTTGTTGTTGTTTTTGAGCTTGAGCCAAATGCGTCGACCACATTGTCATCGTTGTACTGGCTCTTCGTCTTCCCCCCCCTCTCCTTCATCTTCTTTTTGTGTGTGTTGACCTTGTCACAAATTTTCAGTTTTCTTTAATTTTCTTGCATTCTTTCATTAGACGCAAGTTTCTGATCTGATCCACTAATCCTGCTGCTTCTTTCTTACTCTCTCCTCCCTGCACGATTCGAAATGTGTGACAACACTGGGGAAGCATTTTCCATCAAATCTATGCGTCATCGTCATTTCGTCATTGTTATCGTGCCTCTTCTTCTGCTCACTTTCTCCTTCTTATTATTTTTGTGATTTTCAACTCGTCATCAATCTTAAGTTTTCTTTAACTCGCTTGCATTCCCTTCTGGTAGGCGCAAGTTTCTGTATAAATGCTGCGACTCCTGTACTTCTGTTAACCTTTGAAATGTGTGGCAACTCTGTGGCAAAAATCTGTGCGTCATCGTCTTTCGTCATCGTTGTTCTGCCTCTTATGCTCCTCCCCCTCTCCTTCTTCTACTTTTTATGTGTTTGACCTTGTCACTAATCCTAAGTTTTCTTTCATTTTCTTGAATTTTTTTTTGTTTTTGGTAGGCGTATGTTTCTGATGTGATCCACTAATCCTGCTGCTTCTTCGTCTCTCTCTGCTCGCTGCACTCTTGCTGCCTTCGAAATATGTGGCAACTCTACAAAATCTATGCGTATCTTTCAAAACTTTTACTTGGCTTTAAGCAAATATTTTTATTTATTATGCTTGATCTGGTTGCTCAGCTGCCAGCAAAATTTTTAGTTTCTGTTTTCTTTTCTTTTTTTTGGCGGGGGGAGGGTCTATAAAAAAACTTGTGAATGTTGGGCCCGTAAATCAGTTTGGTTTGTCGCCGGGTCGGACAATATTAATAGGCCCAAGATTTGGAAATATTTTTAGCTATGCCGCAAACAACATTTTGTGTGTGGGTTTTGCATAGAAATGCTTTCATTGGAATCAAATGGAAAATTCTGGCAAAATACCCAAAAGAAAAGATTTCGTAAAGGTCCATTGGAAAACGTTTTACGACTGCGCAAATTACTGAGCGGATATAGTATGATTTCATAAATATAATTTTAATTCACAAAAAATTATAATTTTTGTCGATCTAAGTTAAGAATTTTGGCTAAACTCGGAAAATATTAATTGAAAATCATATTATAAGAACTTATACCGGGCAGTCATAAATGATTTTAGGTTTAAGCAATAAAGTTTTCTGATATCTTTATATGTATGTATATATATATAAATATATATATAGGGATGCACTTTTATAGCACTTGTGATTCTTGGCAGCTGTTGACCCAGTTGGAACTTGGCCATTAAGTGAATTTTTGTAATTAATTTTACGGGGCGCGTTGAAGCCCTCAAGAGTTCCGCATGTTTGTTAACAGACCGAAGCGGCAAACATTTTCTTGGCCAAAATGGGCGTGTTCGCCATGAATGCTTCGACGGCGAATTTGCGAATTTGTCTATTGGCATTTCTGGGTTAAGCTAACTGGGCTAAGTGTGGCTAGGTACACAGTTTGCTTTGTGCGGCTGCCTGTTTGGGCCGCAATCAATTTGGCTTTGGGCTTACGTAAATAATGCGCTTTACGGAACTGGCGGATATAAGTGTATATATATATTTACTTACCATATTGTTATCGAAGACCTGCATGGCGGCTGCTGATGCTGCTGCAGCGGCTGTTAGGGAATGGAATATTGAGGAGATGCTTGTTTAAATCCTTTCATATATATTTACAGGGTATTCTCTTTGGCAATTCACTCACTTTCACAGCGTTGCTTATTATATAAATTATATGAGTTCCAAGGAACGCGTTGCTAAAGAATTTGGAAGATATTTCAAAATTGTTGTTCGCGTTCGGCTCGTGGCTGGGCGCACTGAAACACGACGTGGAACTAAGCGAGGAGCTGGCTGAGGCTGGCCGATCGCTGCCTGCAGCTGTCAGACGTGCGCAGTCGACGCCAGCGTCGCTGTCGGCGTCGACGCCGGCATCTGTTGTATTTCAAAATGGGCTGCAACGTACGAAAGCGCCGCGAGATTTGTCGTTTTGATTTTTTAAAAATATATCTCAAATACATGGAAATGCGTATGTAGATACAGATACAGACAAAGATACAGCTACAGATATATATATATATGTATAGGTATTTTTATGTGTGTGTTTGAATTTATTTATTTAAATTTGTATGCCGCACAACTGCGGCTGACGCAGACGCCATGAATGTTCCGCGTTTAAATATGATTATTATTAATATTTATGCACTGGATATTTATTTTCCACAATTCTCATGCATGCTGGCCTATAAGAATGTGTGAATACATTTATCTAGCTTCACTTTTGGAGGTAAATGCACACACACATTGCCAGACTAGACAGCAGCCATCACATTTAAATATTGCTTTAAAAACTCGGGCACATTAAATAAAAATACGCATTAATATTTATGAGTCTGTGAGAGGGCGCTTTGCTATTGACCCCAGGCTTTGCTCTAGGGTTCACTGGAGTTTTTTTCTTCATTATTTTATTTATTTTTATGTGTACTTTTTGGGTTTGTTCAGTGTCCCGTAACTTTTCTTGTTTTCATTTTATTATTGTTCATTTGCAAATTGCATTTTTGCTTTTTATTAAAATGCTCTGACCAGGACTTGCTGCATATACGAAATGCTGTCGGTGTCTGGATATGGCATAAAATTGAACTATAAGCTGTGGACGGGCAAAACAATATTCCCTGCTATACGGAACTGCAATAATAATCCAAATACATTAAATTTGTGTGTTTAATTTCGCCACAAATTTAAAGCTGAATCGATCTCGGGCTTTTCTGAAAGCTTTCAACTTTCCGGAAGGATCAATAAGGATCAAAAGGGCCATGCCTGGCCTTAAGGTTCCGTTGTGAGCACAGGTTTTCCACATCTTAAAAGTTTTAATAGAACAATTCAAGTAATTATTGTTTATATATAACAAAAAAAAATATATATATATATATAAATATTGGTTAATTATTCATATTCTGTTCTGAAAACTATTGCTTGCGCAATGTCTGAACGAAATATACATTTATTAACTATTTTCAATTATTCAAATAAAAATATTGGTTTCAACCAAACCACATTTAAATAAACACATGGTTTGGGTTAAAAAGCTAACTAGTTCGTCTTAAGGTGCGGTTAATGCTAAACAAAAAATATATAACTAGCAAATAAGGATATTAAAGATTAAAGCCCTTGAAGACATTTTCCTTTCGGGTTTGAAATGTCAAATGTGTGAGGATAGTAGATCGAAAATTCTAGGTTAAATGAAAATGTCTTAGTGACTAGAAAGTTGTACCATACAATAGTTTCATAGGATATAGAAGTGCAATTTTTAGAATTGTGGCTCATATTTAAGCAGCAACTTAACTAATAAATGCCGGGTTCCGTCAAGATATCTCGATAAACAATACCATACCGGAGTTAGCTGAAGCTCAACCAATGAACTTTTTTTATTGAATTGTTCAGTTTTTTTTTATTTTTTATATTATTGTTTGCCCTTTGCTGTTAACTATAGAGCTCAATTTTATGAGCTCCTGCTGCTGCACAAAAGCATCGGGCATCGCATTATTGGAAAAGATATAGAAACATAAATGTAGCATGAACGCATATACATAAGTATATATAATTTGTACAACATATTTATTTGTGTGTGCATAAATATTTGCTTAATTTATGTATTTATATTATAAAATTTGTTTGTGCAACGTGTTGTTTTTGCTGTTCCTGCTTTTCAAAGCTGCTGTGCGCGTTGTCTGTCAAATTAACAACATTGTTTTTTATGAATGTGCTTCTATATGTGCCACGAACTGTGTGTGTGCGCGAGTGTGCCTGTTGCATTTTAAAATAGCTCGGCTAATGGCTGAAATTGTTTTTGGAAAACGGTTTTTGAGAATTTCCGCCGCGACGACACTTGAAAAGTTCTGAAAGTGATTTATGAATTGCGCACAGTGCCAAAATGAACATAAGACGCAACAAACTAACCGTATGACAATCAATCAGCGCCGGCAATGTATTAATTGTAAATAATAATATTGTTATTGTAATATTATTAACATAAAGTAGCACACATGTCGAAAACTGTAAAATGAACGACAAGGCTGCCATATATTGTTTGACTTGGTAAAATTCTAAATTCTGGCAGAATGGCCCCAAAAAAAAAGAAGGGAAAAATCGTTGATTGGGCCGATGATGAACACTTCTCCAAGGATCGCAGCATATTCTACATAGAACACACCACGGAATGCCCCATCTTTCAGGTGAAGGCCGACGAGTGCTTGACCTTCTTCCAGCAGCGCATTCCGGAGCGAGAGTTCCAGCTGGTGCGCAACAAGAATGGCAAACAGGTGCCCCGAGATGGAGCCTTCGAGGTCTTCATTTCACAAAATGCGCGCACCTCCGAGCACGAGCTGTGGTCTGGTATGACCCGAGGACCGCCGCGGCGTGATAAGTTTCCGCAGTACGAGGATCTGGTTTCGGATGTGAATCGCGTCCTAAGGAAGTTCTACCCGGACAAGGCTGTTGGTATCGATGAAGATGAAATGGATATGTGACTGGCTCATTAAAAGGCAGAAAATCCGCAGCGAGGGCTCAACAATGAAAAGGCATTAAAAAGCATGATTTCATTTTTGGAATTTTTATGGTCATATTTACATAACAATGTGGTAAGAATATAAAGCTAATGCGTCTTTTTGTCAAATAACACAAAACACGAAAACACACCCACACATAAGCACGTACAATTACACACACACACACACAAGCCTGTTTAAAAAGTTTTCAGCACACACACACACACACACACAAAATCAACTGATTAGCAGGCGCGCTTTTCCTATACCCTGTTGGATACATAGCATGGGGTATGTTAGCCAGCTTTGTGTATCCCTGTCTAAGAAACAGAGTGCATAATATTAATATCTATATGTCATAAACTATTTTGAGAAACTTTCAAATGACGTTATTCTGTCTGCAACGTTAGATATCTCATTACAAAAAGCGGAATTTGAGTGATAAGAGAATGTGGCTCACTGTAGGGTATTTTATAATTGAGCCTGCAATTTAATTTATATTTATTGTTGGCCATTGTTATTACCTGACAGGTGCCGTCCCGTCGTCGCCGTTTGACAGCTTAAAACGCTAAATTCAAGCCAGATAATTAACACACCCAATGTAGAGAAAAATAAATACAATTGTGATAAGTGTGTCGCAGCGTCGTCCCATTGTCTGGGCCCACGGTGAATCTGCCGGCTATTCATGCGCTACCCCCAACCCGTCTGTTGACAGAACAAATATCCAAATGCAATTTCAATATACACAACAAACGACACAGAAAAAAAGAAGCGAAAACAAATATCAATGTAAACTATTTGATTTGATAACAAAATGGCAAACAAAAAAACTAACCCATATATAGCAAATAAATTAGAAAATTGCATCACACAAGTGAACAATGGTAATAATACCGAGCAAATTCAAGCGAAAAGTTTTAATAAATAAAATACAATAAATTGTTTGTACATAAATTTGTTTATACATCGTTTCTCGACTTCAATAATCACTTCATCTCTTAATAGTCTAACTATTGTACAGAAGCCAAATAATCTACAATGTTTCAAATGGTCATATAATTAGGGAGAACAATTTTTTTGTTATATTATTGGTATGGAACTTTTTATAGAACATAAGCTTTTAACACGATCGTGTATGGTTAAAAGAGAAGCAGTAAAGAGTTTAGTCATCGAGTAGTTGGATTCAATCCGAACTAAGCGAGGTTGATTTGGCAACCGCAAGTTCACCTTCGAGTAGTCCACAGACGGTTGGCCCATAGTCTATAATTATATAGACTACCTATTGATATAGGCACTCGCTATTGATTTACGCACAGATTGAAGAAGAAACCAGATTATTGTTGGGAGTACGATCTCGTGCATAATAGTGAGACCCGTCATACTTTTTTAAATCGCGTTTTGGGATAACTCTAGCCGCTTGGGAGTGGTTGGAAAGGCAAAAGCCCAGATTGCTGTACGTCAAGTTAAGGCTGGTTACAATATATCTTGGTATATTAGTATTTTGCAGCAAAAGAAAGTGAGGCATTAAGCAACAGAGTAAAAATTAAAAAATCTAAGTCACATGTTCTATATGTGTACTCAAGCTCCATTGCCTCCCAATATCTTGTGCGTAACTTGCTTTAAAGTCCGTTTCCATTTTATAGCCTACATATTTGCATGCCAATTGCCCGCTGAAAGCCTGTTCACTTGACTCCCGCTCCTAATCGTAGTCGTCCTATGCGCGCCATGCTCACTTAAATCGTCGTCAGATCAGATCTTTATATGCTGGATAGGATGTACTTTGCACATCCACAACTGTTTCATTTTGTGCCATTGTTGGCCGCTAGGGGGCGTGTTATGGAAAGGCCACCAGGCCATAAAAATCCAATGCGCACAACCGAACCAAATTACAATGTTGCAGCAAGAATAACACAAGCAAAGTTCAGATGCCAGCCACTGTTTGCATGCAGCATAGCGGGCCAAAATGCCACAGCAGCTGATATGCATTAGAGTAGGCGAGGCTTGTTGGTGGATTGGTAGGGTAGCGAGGGGAAGAAAGGAGGTTGCGCATGGCCGTGGCCCAAAGGGTTTTGTGTGCCATTTGTGCCGGCAAAATTTTAACAATAAAATTTGCAGCAGAAGTTGCATGCAACATGAACGTTGACATTGCATCGCAGTGGCTCGGCGGCCGCAGCTACAGCAGCAACAACCCTAACAATAACAATAACTATGAAAAATAAGTAAAACAATAACAACGAGAAGGACTACATGAGTTGAGAAGTGTTGGGCAACCCG